ATGTGTGTCTTCAGATCCCAGGAAGAAGTTCATCAGACCTTGGATGGTGCTTCACCATCTGACAAGTATACAAGGATTGGTTTCTCTTGCCAGATGTCTCAAAAAAATTCTAAAGCTGTTGTTGAATACATTAACTCTGATACTAAAATAGCTGGCCAGAAGGTACAAATAGACGAAGCTGAAAAACGTATTGAAAAAGAGAATAAAAAAAAAACTTAAATGAATGAGCTACCTTCTGTGTTCTTATCTTTGGTTTTTTTCTGCATATCCATTGTTTTCTTCCAATTTCTGCTTTTTTGACTTTAACTTATGTTTGTTCTAATTTCTTTTTTCTCTGATTTCTCTATGATTGCACTTCTCAATTTCTTCAGTCATATAGGTACATATTTCATACTACAACCACTAACCTCAACTAGGTTTCAATACTGCTTTTCCGCTCTTCTTCATTGCTCTCAATTCACTTCAATTTTTTATAAAGATCGGTCTGAAAATATGTGATGCAATGACTGTTTGTCATAGCACCATCACCTAAATATTTCAAAGGTACAAAATACTCAAAATCTGCTCTCTGCATACCCCAAATTGAGCTTTGGGTTTCCTGACAATCCTGCAGTGATATGTATGCATATCCATACAAATAATCTGATTTGCAGTTGCCATGAAACAAATTATTAGTGCATAAACTATCTATCAGGCTCTTTACATGCCAACAGAAATTATGTGATAGAAATAAGATTATTTACATTTCCCAAAATTATGAGTGTTTGCTTTCATGTGGTAATCCACTGGGAAGTTCACCCATGCAACTCACAATCAATTGGGTTTTTGCACATTGGAACATCTGGTATTAAGCACTTTTGAGAAACATCAAGAAGCCAAATCTGAAAACATTCAGTGTTTATACAATTTGGTAGTATCAAGGATGTAACAGATCCAATCCCCGGATCGGTATTTATTGGGGATCAGATCGAAAATGGACCCAATACCGGGTATCAGTATCGGATCGCTCCACCCAATCCAATCCCAATGTATTGGACAACTGGGATCGGGTGGAGCGATCCAATACCAATACCTGGTATTGGGTCCATTTTCGATCCGATCCCCGATAAATACCGATCCAGGGATTGGATTGCTTACAGTTTGGATGATACCCAAGTGTAAGGCATACAGCCCGCAGCATTTGGGTGCCGGATTGGGATTGCAATGCAATCCCGATCCCGATCCGATACCATTTCGATACGATACTAAGGGTGATCCGATCCCTTATTTTTCGATACCTGGTATCGAAAAATCAATCTGATCCGATAAATCGGCCGATACCTTATCGGATCGGATCTGTTTCACCGTTGGTAGTATGGCTAGAAACTTGCAATTTTTATTTGATTTTTTGAAACAAGGTGTTACTTATACTCTGCAGTGCTGTTCAAAGACCAGTTGATAAGTTAACATTTTCATGGATCAAACCAATCCTTCAAGTCCATTACATAATACACACCAGAAAATAGTTGGTTAAATTTATAATAATCTGACCCATGTACTAGCATAAAAATAACGTATCTTTTGCCAACTGCTTGATCCAAATGCCACTGGAGAAACTCCAAATATGGTAAGTGATTGGTATGTGCAGAGCCAAAGTAAAACAGATAGATTCATGTTTACATGGCAAAACCAAGCCAATAATATGTAAAATTCAAGCATATGAATAACCACATGGAAACCGTGTCTGTTGCCTTCATCCAGTGGAATATGTACTTACCAGCTGTTAGAATATGGATAATTGTTTGATGTATTGAGCTATTTAAAAATCTCATTTTTACTAAAAACCTGACCTGATGCTTGACAATGCAGATTTTGTTCTAGAAGAGTTCCAATTGTGTATATAGTCAAGTTGAAGCACCTGTGTCACTCAAATTCATTGGTCCCAAACCGATGAAAATACGATTTTTTCTCCGGTTTGGGACCATATAATATGGTGGGCTGGCAGGGCTGACCAGGGCCAGCCCTCTGGCATTTCACAGGCAATACCATGTCAACCAAGAATCCCTGATTTTTGCCCCACACCCACTTTTTCCATGGCACCCAGCTCTGCCAGCTCCCACCGCCCCAGTCATACCCAGCTCTGCCAGCTCCCACCGCCCCAGTCATACCCAGCTCTGCCAGCTCCCTCCGCCCCAGACACACCCAGCTCTGCCAGCTCCCTCCTCCCCAGACACACCCAGCTCTGCCAGCTCCCTCCTCCCCAGTCATGCTCAGCTCTGCCCCAGTCATACTCAGCTCTGCCAGCTCCCACCACCCCAGTCATGCCCAGCTCTGCCAGCTCCCACCACCCCAGCACTGCCGGCTCCCTCCGCTCCAGCCACACCCAGCTCTGCCAGCTCCCACCACCACAGCCACACCCAGCTCTGCCAGCTCCCTTCGCCCCAGTCATACTCAGCTCTGCCAGCTCCCTCCACCCCAGACACACCCAGCTCTGCCAGCTCCCACAACCCCAGCCACACCCAGCTTTGCCATGAAAGATTATCAACAAGAATTTGCATGAACCTGATGCTGAATTTTTGTTAAATATGTGTTACATCCCCTGGTGTCAGCTCTGGTATCTTCTTTGACCTAGAGTTTATGGGGTTTTGGGGTCACACTATAACCACCACAGAGGTGGTCAGTGGAAACAAACCTCACCTCAACACTTATAAAATGGAGGGGCTACCTCCTTATATAATAAGGGACAACTGTGGAATGAGCTTCACAGTGCTGTAGCTTTAGAGCGTAAGAGGGATATAGTTTGGAATAGTATTATAAGTTAATAAAGTAACTTATAAGGACTAGTAATAGGATGAAGAGAAAGGTACAACAAGTTTATAGATATTATATTACTAAAAAATAACCCCACTCTCTAAGTATATGTTTTAGCTGGGCGATTAATCTCAGGGAAAGAGTCATCCACTTAAATATTACAGAGAAGTGATCAAACTGCTGCTGGGACTGGTGCAGTCCCCTGATTGTTACACTATTCCTTGGGGGAAAGTGTCAAGATATGAAGAGCATGCTGAATGTACATGTGCTGAATATCTTTTCTTTCAGAAAATACACATAAGAGAACTTTTGACTGGCGCAAGGTCAACTACTGATTTCAATTTTAGAACAGAAAAATTTGAGATAATCGGAAATCTTCCGCACCATAATACCAATATTACACTCTTCACCCATATAAAGTGTAATATCAATACTATGGGGCTCAAGATGGCCTAAGATATCAAGTTTGTTCTCAGCATTGATGAAGCCAGTAATTGAACTTGCCTGAGGAACAATTTTGAAATATTTTTTGCATTGGTTTATTTTTTATTGAATTATTCAGGCAAAATTTATGACACTGCCAAAACCGGCCTCAACTATATACCAAGATGTGCTTTGAGAATATAATTTGGTTGGCCAGCCCCAAGAAAATAGGTATTGTTGGCCAGCGCCAAAAGTTTAGGCAAATTTGACTAAATTGATACATAAAAAGAAAATTTTGAATGATTTTTGCTGGGATTGTGTAAGATGGTTTGAGCCAGTAGTTGTTTATGGATTTAGGTGTCAGATTTGAAAACCACTAGTAATTGTAAACTCATGGCCAATAGGCATTAGGAGTGGTCACAATTGAACTTGAGAGTCATGTTTGAGAGTTTTTGGATCAAACTTTTTGGGATTTACAGAAATTTCAGAAATTAACTCATTCTGAGAAACCCACATAGATTATGAATTGCTGCTCATAAAGATGTCAAAAATATCTAGTTTCACTAACATGATATCTTAAATTTTCTTGGAGGGCCTCATCAAATGACTGACATGATTTTTGGATAAGATTTGAAGGTGAACATCATAGATAATGAGAACTAAACTGGCAAGAAGAATCCATAAATGGGTTGATAGATGTGATGTTTTACTCATGGTATTTGAAAAGTATCCACTAGGAGAATATAAAGATTCTATGAAAAAAAAACTATGTGATATTCTTGCAGGTTTGTCAATTTTGTTCGTGAATAATAAAGTCCTGTTCTTGGGCAAAAATCTCCTCTTCATGTTGATCCTCTTCACTGTCAAACTCCATCACTACAGACTGACCAGAAACAAGTCTCTCCCATGTCTGCCTACATTTATTTATTATTAAATCCCACTGATATTCAGGTGTTTCTTTGGTTTCTTGATGATAATCAAGATAGTTCTTACTCCATCTCAAGAGTTTCCAAATGTGACAGTTCCATGAGAGCCAAAGACGGCAGTGCTTTTTGGCAATATTGGTGAAGACTGACTGCACGACTGCTTTGGGACAGTTGAATTCGGAGCAGGTATTCTTGACCTGTTGTTGGCTTTCTGTAAGGACATCAGTTTCTTGAGGTTCTGGAAAATTTCAACCAATTCAATTTAAATTCATCTCTATTTATAAATGGTGTTCTCAAAAACTTACCGGCTTGTAATGATTGAAGCAGCTGATCCATTTTTATTGATTTTTCAATGGCCCATGTCACTGTCTGTCTGGCCTCCCGAGCAATACGTCGTAATTCGTCCTGGCAGTGTGTACTGTGAGCACGCGTGATGCTTTTTGGTGTTCACGTCCACAGCCAGCGCTCGCTTGGAAGATCAGTTGGTTGTGCTCAAAAAAATGTCGATCCCAAGCTTTACGTCATCAAAGAGGAGTTCCATGTCCTCTGGGGAAATCATGTGGAAGAGTCGCCGATTATGATGAATCATTCTTCTGACTATC